TTCCCTGTACTTCGGTATGGCGTACCAATGAATTGTTGGGGCAACCTGACAAAATATTAGGAAATAACTAGCGATGGATCACGTCTAGCTTGAAGAGGCAGCACTCTAGTAATGATACGGAGTGAGTTGTAGAGATTCGCGAGTGAGACCGCGCGCGTGGGCCCAGACTCGTATCTCGCGCGTATCGCGCCCCTAATAACTAATAACTCGATCCCCTGTTAGACCCCTTCCAGAGAGAGAGGCAACACCTTCAGCCGCCTCTCTACGGACACCTGATTTGGAAACCGACCTGCTGAGCTGCTAGACGTCGAACACCAAACCGAATCCTTGTAAGATTAATTAAACCATTCAAGGACCTACCTAAAGCCATCCTTGCAGGCGAATTCTTCTGGCGGTCCATCAGGGTATCTGCACTTGCACGTACAGTGTTGATCGTCCCAGTCCTCTACGGCAAAATTGCACTCATCCGGACTGGTGACGCATTCATGAGCACAGCTTGTGTGATTCTTCATCGTAATGGTGGTTGACCGAAAGTTGGACGAGTGCGAAAAAACTTGAATGCTTAATTCGTCGTAGCTGTGGGCCACACAATGCTGCACTTTTGGAGAAACTGTGCTCGCCGAGCCGGCGCAGCGATGGAGCTTGACAAAAAACGGGTAATAACCGTGATTGGAGGGATCTACAGGAACCACGGTCTCGTACGTTTTACATAAAAGGTTGTCCAAATCTGAGAAGAATTAAAGATCAGTCATCAGTGTCATGGTTTTAAATGGGGTATGGTTTTTGCACTCTAGTCTTGTATTGGGTATGCTTTTTAGAAGAAGCTACTGTTGCATCATTATCGATAAGACCGTCAACAAAAATCCATCCGCACACCCCCACCCAAAATTTCTGGGAGTACCCCCAGGTAGTGCGGTCTTGGAAAAGCCGCAATATCATCATTAATTCAGTCATTCAGTCATTTCAGTAGAAGCCGATCTGTATGGCTCCTGACGAGTGCTTTCAGAGGTCCAAAACGTTTCTTAAACCCAGTTAGTCTTTCATCCTTTGAGCGTTTATACTCTTTTAGTCTTGTTAATGTCGGCAGACAGTTGGCAAATTCAACTTTCTTTGCCGATACCGGAAGCTTTCAGGGATCCGCCCCAGGCTCCCAGCGGCATGCCGTCTCTATAAACCAGTGGTTACAATCGAGATTGAGCAAAAACCGAGCTACTTACATTTCACTTTTTTAGCCGATACAGCCATGTCCACCAGCTCCAACGCAATCAGACAGATTACCAACAACTTTCTTTTTGCCATATTTTATTGGTTTCAGTTTAAAGTACCTAAAAATGAAGGTGGCAGTATAAATGTCAGGTTTGCAAGTTAAGTCTTGCATGAATTAAAAATGATTAACATCTTAATTTCTCCGCGAAAAAATTGTTACCTTGTCAAGCAAAAACGTGACGAGAATTAAGATTATCATCAAACAATGGATGGTTAACGTAACGGAACTTGCCCTCGTCGATAAGCTGTCCGCCAAATCGAGAGCTTTTGATATTTTAGCTTAAATGCGCGAACATCTCGCCATAACAAAAATATACGTACATCATGCAAAGTCGTTCGAGTTATTGCATGTTTTCTTTTCATTTTCTCTCTGTTTGAGGAACAGTTTCTCGAGGCGGTCTCGGCGGTGCGATATGTATAACTCCAGGCTGACATTATTAAAAGCAGAATTGCTCAATCGCTCATTTTTTCCCAGGAAAACGGGCGCAAGAAGTATAAAGGTCATTTAAAGATCCGGAAATGCTTTTAAGCATATTAGCCGTCAAAGCGACACGATGGATTTCCTGTTCAAAGAAAATTAAAGGGCCGCTCCCAGGAAGTAAACGGAAAGAGTTTCTGAGAAAATGGTTAGGAATTATTAAGTGTCTCAGCAGTTCTCAGCTCCAAGAAGTCAAGCCGGCAACATTTACTAGTGAACGTTTTAATTTGTCATCAGTACATGTTTTAGAAACCGCTTGAGGATTTCCTGTTCAAAACATTTTTTTCTCGATAGTCACGCTGTTTAATAATTCCAATCGTTATTTCAAATTTACGCAACCTCTTATAAACCGGTATCAAGCAAGCTTTGCTCCCTGCATGTTTTAATACGTGGAAGTAAAGTGAGAACTCTCTTTCTTCAATTATCAACCGCGAAGTTATTTCAAATGAAAACGAAGACTGCGGGTGGAAAAAAAAATTACTCAATAGTTGGAAGTCCTTGCTCGATTCGGTGTCCACTATGAAATCTGGCTTCGCGTGAGTTGGGTTCTTTTAGATAGATCATATCAACTTAAATCATGATATTGGGTTTCCTAGGGAGACATAAGTGGCTATTACCCGGGGCTATTACATACACCGCAAACGTTGCGGTTGCAAGGCGGATTACTTTTACATCTTTCATCTCTTACTAAGTACAAGAAAATTTGTTTTGCTAACCTGACCTTAAATGTTTGTTGTTCATAAAGATTAGCTAAACAGATTGGTTACCGCAGTAATATATATTTAGAGGGGAACAATGGGGAGTAAAATCTTTATATCATGATACTCTATCGCTGCCCCGAACCCGCAGCTTTTAACTTTACAAGCCTTCCAGTTAGTTGCACGTGGGTTAACAAGCTTTTGCGTACCGCGAATCTCAATCGATAATTTTATCTGCAAACAATTCTCTCAACACGAAGGAAAATATGCTCTTCGATGCTTGTGGCGATGCATGAAATAGATGATGCAACATAATTTTTTTCGCTTCCCGGCAGTTCCACTACTTACAGTCATGAGTTGATCAGTCCTAATAAATTTCGCTGTGTACGGCTTCAATGCATGAGGTACACGGTAGCCTGCGTTGCAGCCGGACGCGTCATAAAATCCCCGATATAGTCCGGTAGTTTGGACTGTCTGCGACGCAGGCTAGCACACGGTAGAAAGTAAAATTAAGTTGCGTGCAACTCTTATTACAGAACTTTCTTCAAACTATAGACATGTTTCTTCTGTATTTACGATTTACTGTTGTGGATCGGGAATTTCGCTATAAAACTCGAACCACCCAGCAGAGACTGTCAATTTTTACTGAAACTGATGAGATTTCGGAATTAAACCCTTCTGTAGTTAGCAAAACTTTCTTGACAGCAAATTTATCGACATTGTAATAGGGTAGAATCGGATTATCCAAGCACGTCAATGAATTGATCAGAACAGTAACAGAGTCTACATACCGTAATTACTCCAAAATCTACAAATTTAGATGGAAGTTCTGATTTGTTAGCCTTCAGTAATTTGTTCACCTTCAGCAATTTCGTCGCTGACTATCTTTCCCTTTGGAAAAGGAGCGATGTTTAAGTGATGTTCTCGTCAACGAAACAATTTCAGAGAGCTCTTTTCACTAACAATAACTCCGTGAAATTTGCATTTGATGAAAAGTCTGCAAAACGTGTATTAAGTAGAGTTAACACGCTCCAGTGAATGAGCAATGAAGCGAGCGTATATAATAGCCGGCTGCATTTAAAGACCTTGGGGTATTTCATAAACGTCGTTTGTGCAATAAAAGTCCTTGTCGGACTGAAGACCTACCTTTCGTCTCTAGCTTTCAAGGTCGTTCAGGAGATTTAGCGACTTGTTTCTCGAGTTGCGAGTACGAATGGATTGCTAAGCGCCACGAGGTCATACTGACAAGACACACCGCGTTCAAGCTTATTTCAACGCGAGTGCTTCCGGTCAGCGATGACGTCAATGCGACTGGGTGCATGAACTGTGAACGACAAATTCGTGTAACACAATCTCAACGGTGACCAAAAATGGTCAGGGCGTGGGTTGACAAAGTCAAAACATTAACTGTAGCGCCAGCCCTGCAGCCATATCAAACTAAACGCGATATTTTGGCGTTCCAGTAATTACGCCTTTCTATTCAATTGCAAACGAAGAAGTGCACCTCCTCGCTTGAACTAAAATAACTTCCGGTGTTCTTCGAGTTTCTGTCGCCATTTCAGCCCTTTTTACGTCACATTAGTCTTTTCCGTTCCTTATGGCTTAACAAACCTTCTTTAATTATCGCATACCTCGTGACAGAACGATGAGTGTTTGAACAGGGCAGCGTCGCGCGCCACTAGTAATAATTAAGTTGACTTAATCCACCATTTGTCTTTCTACGCGCAGTTTGTCAACACATATGGGTCATAAAAATATTATCTCGTATACTAGGAAAGAAAATTATCATTTCAAGTTCCTGTTTTATTGGGAAAAGTTTGGTTAGGGTATGACTTCCTCTACTTAAAGGGAGTGTCGTTCTCAACCTGGATTTTTTGTTTTGGTTTTGATATCCGGAATTAAACTGAAACAGCAAAGTGCCAAACATGTCAGTCCGTAGGACATTGCTCGTACAAGAAAAGTAAAACAAAAAGTTTTTAAAACAATTAAACTAAGGTTACCTAGATCAGTGGCTCACAAAATGGGAAAAGGGAAAACGTATGTTATACGGCATTGCCAGACAGACGGTGTGTTTAACACCGTGAATTACAAGTTGAAAACCTTGTACGGCCCAGGTGATTCCATTTCAAATTTGCGTACATGCAACTATCACGGTACTTCTTCGCCGGGCTTCTTCGTGTCTGTCAAGACGTTCTTGAGCCAAATTTCAAGAATTCGAGTTTCTTTTGTTTTGGTTCTCCGCGGTAGCTGTACACATGTTGCAGTGGATGTTACCTTTTATCTTTCCAAACCTTTCAAAGAGCATTCCCGTGAGACCCCAATGTAGAAGTACCCCTGGGATGAAAGACTATAGTATGAGTGATATAAACTACAATTTCCAGTGTTAGTCAGGGCGATAGTGGCGGTTATAGCCGGCCTAACCTTAAAGAAGGTAAACTCATTGTTAAATGAGTTACCAAGAAATAAACCTTTGCCCTTTTAATTTCCTGTAGTCCGGTCTTGTCCCAGGCACTCGCAATTGACACGTCTAGAGACGTCTGCTTTACATTTCAACGGAGCGGGTTATGGTTCCCCATCGAAACTAGTTATGGCCAGTTATGTGCGCGCAATACTGGCCACGTTTCCAAACTCTATGAAGACCGTTCTACCTCATCAGAACAAGCCCAACTAATCGGGTTTCGTTTTCCCGAGCCAATCCCGCATGTTGTTATACCTCTGATCAAGCTCTACCCTACTTTAAAATTAACTTTTCCGAAAATGTTTTCAGAAAGAAAAGGAGACGCTAATTGCAGTCTCTATTTTAAAAATCAATTTGATTATTCAATGCAGCCTTGCCTTTGATGGAAAAGGAACATTGTGACATGTTTGTTCCTTTGTATGTTTTATTTTTAACTTCCTGTTATTTTAATTTTTTTCTCAGCGAATGATAATCAGGAAGGAAAAACATTGATGATGATATGTCTTGATCTTATTAGCCTAAAGGGGTCTCAGTTTTATTTGCATTTGCATTTCTATATTTATGATTTAAATTTATTTATTATGATAAGTCTCATCTTGAATTGAGCTGATTCTATTTCTAATCAGTAATACTCAACATGTTCTTAGGAGATCGCGAATCTTATATGGCCTCGGTCTCTCGTCGTGGTCTATTCGCTGATAAGGAAGGGGGCGCGGCCTGGTAGTTAAAAGGCGCTGGATTCCCGGGTTCAAATCCGCCACCCTGCCGCTAACTGGATTTGTGTCCGGTGTCACGAATCAAGGCATCTCCTCCATACCTCATGTCTTGAAAATAGCCAACTGGTCCGCTTCCTCCCAGCTGGAAGTTTTCAGTTCTATTTACAACAGTTTGTTTCTCGATCTACAGTGTTCCCAATTAGGAAAAGTAATCCAGAAATTTTATTCCAAGCGTTAGAAAAGATCGAGTGACGAGACGAGAAAACGTTCTATAACCACAACCTTCTGATTGGCTCACCCAGATTCCACACTCTCAGACCAGTTGATGGAAAGACTTATGCAGCCGGAACCCAATTTACGCTCAAAATACCCAAGCAGCAGCACGTCCCAGAGTACGGGAAAGCCGTTTGCAAGCGGCTTTTCCGCATATTGTGAACATGCGAGATTTAATGACGCACGGCGTTCAAGCACAACCACAGACTTCAGGCCTTGTACTTTTAATGCCCTCGTATGGTTAGAGTTTGTTCTTTCTACAATAAGAACGCAACATGGGTTTGTTACATTCGTTCACTTTTCTTATAATATATAAAATAACCTGTTTATGGACAGTTGTTTAACAACACACGCACTAACAGTTACAATACTTACACCTTTCTTCATGAAAGTACATATTTTGACGTTGCTTTCGTCACATTTTTTTTGTTTGTTTGTTTTTGTACCAATCAAAAGACTGCGCTATCTACGGTCTACGAATGACTCTTGGTTTCCTCGCTTTCTTTTCACTATCGTCAATTCAATAAACAGTTGAAGATTCTGCTAATTTTTTTTAGTAATAAATCAATAAAGTAGTATGTAGAAAAGACCTAAGTAAAAATTAAATCTTTAGACTAGACTGTCCACAGCCTCTATACTTTTCAACGCACGCCGCAAGAAAAAACGAGCGAAGCAAACGCGAAGCACATGGGGGTGGGGGTGGGGAGGCGAGCGAAGGGAGCCAGGCGAAGAATATCTTTCTCGGTACTCACCCCCTACCCCGTCAAGTCTCCTGTTTTGCGCTGGCGCCCAGTTCTTCCGCGATTTTATCCGCGCGTTCAAAGATCGATTTAGAATACGAGAAAATAGAGGGCTGTGAACAGTCTATCTTTAGACTAAAACACTCTGCTTTCCGGCAAATGAGCCCGTATCCAAATGAGCCCGTGTCCAACCTCGGACACTTATGAACAGAAAAAAAGCCCGGACATCGCTCAACTGAAGAGAGCGGGTAAAATTGAGCTCAAATGCACCTCAAGATCGCTGCGCTCACGCCTGGTTTAACCCCTGTACCCACTACGCCGGAGCAATTTGAAAACGCAGCTTTATTTCTACGCTTAGGCCTACCTTCCACCGTCACTAATCCGGCACGAAAACGGAGCTTTTAAAAAGCGCTTTTCAAACCGGACAGATTTGAAAACGCCGGCTTTTCGTTTTCGTGTAGACGAAAAAAAAATTGAAAACGGAGCTTTTCGAAAACGATGACATCACGACAATCACGTGATTTCCCTGCACTAGTTTTCCACAAACACAAATCCAAAATGACCGGTGATTGTTGCGGTTTTCAATTCCTCCGGCGTACTGTGGACGGAAAATTTTGATGCATCACGTTTTCATAGTGAAACCTCCGTTTTCAAATTTCTCCGGCGTAGTGTAAAGGGGGCCTGAGCTTTAAATAGTTTGGCAATACAAAAGACCACAAGTATCGACAGGAGAACTCTTAACATGAACTACTTCCCTCACTGAAGGGTTACCTAAAGTTCGCCTATGATTACCTAACCTATTGTACATCTTGTTGTGCGATGGCTTTTACCAGTTCATCTAAAAACATCTTGAGAAGTTTAACCATCCCGTTCAAACCTGAATTATTTTAAGGCGTTTAACTTATCTTCGCAGCTGCTTAAGTGGGGTGCACGACTGGGGTGATTCCTTATGTCTCTAAAATTCTTCCTGACATGAATTTTATTTAGTAAATGGTTTGAACCCAGGAGTATCAGTAGTTCGTATAGTGTGATCGTCCGCGTGAGGGTAGTTCACCTCACCCGGACGATCACACTATACGAACTAATGAATTTTATTCACTGAGGTTCAGTGACTTGGACATTCCCAAACTAAACCACGTCGTCAGTTAGCATTAAATTCACACGGAGTGGTGTCACCTGCCCCCAGGCGAGCTCTAAACATACATATGCACTCAGTTTTACATTAAACACTTTAACTTGTCGAAAACACTCTTCCAGTGGCCAGTAGGTTAGTGGCGCAACTCGGCACCAGTCCAGCGCCAACTTGACGTGAATGTACGTCTTACATCGTTGTTATGCTGAGGCTTCAGATTCCGTTTACTTTTCATTATTGCCTAAAAACGGGCTATGGTCTTGATTTGCATTTGGTCTACCTGTGGTGCCATTATTACTCGCGCTCCCTGGGTCACCTGTAAGATGGAGTATAGAGAGCAACTCACCCTAAACAGGCAGACCTGTGAAGTGAATGTTCCTCTAAACTGCTAATATTACATGTGCGCCATTTTCAGCCGAATCGTTAAGACCTCTTCAGTACTTAACTAAAACACAGTTGAACCCCTCCACAACGGCCACCTTGAGGTACACTAGAAAAAAAGTGGCCGTTGTAGAGAGCTGGCCGTTATGGGGGGTGGGAGGGGGGGGGATAGGGGTGTCACAATGACATCCTTTCTTTCGGGGGGTACAACATTTTAATTTTAAACAAATGCTTATTGTGGTATATAAATATGTAAAGCAGTCAAGGTATAGACCGGTAATATATTCTAAATAGAATGCTTCGTTAATAATCGATTAACCGGAAAAAAAAACTACTATATTAAATTAAAGACGGCCTAAACCAAACTGTTTAGTGTCAATTTTTTTCGCTTGTCTTAAGATTTTCGATTTTTGCGATTGACTAAAATTCTGGGGACAATAATGACCCACAAAAACGCGTAACGGCAGGCGGGACAAAATAGAGTCTTTGTATTCGATGAGTGAATGATTTCTCCTTTGTTCTAAGTAAAAAACATTCACATTCTTATCCATGTCACACTTTATTTTCGCCTGATTCTCTGCACATTCTCTCGCTAGCTTCGGTATAGCGGGTGAGCCGACAATCTTCCTCTAAGTTTGGAGGAGGCAGCGTGACCGAGTGGTTAGGGCGCCGGACTTGAAAATCTGGAGGTCGCCGGTTCAAGTCCCGCTCTGACCAACTCCTCGGTCATGCTTATAACTCGTCTGCCTTCGATCAGTTGGGATTTTTAAGCCTATTATGTTTAGTTGATATCTTTGTTTCTTTCAGCTGGCATGCCTGTGAACTAGTTACGTGTAGCTAAGCGCATTGACCACTATAAACAACAACATATTAGCAGGTCCTACAAGTGCCACATGGCGCGAGAAGCATTTAAAGAGGAACACCTCCTCAGGAAAATTAAAGAAATGCGCTGCCTTTCGAATCAATTGTCGTCCCCAAAACGCGAAAATTGAACTTGCCGAGGCATGGCTGCATCATCACGCAAGTAATGAGGCACTAAATAACAATCAACTACAACAAAAACCTTTTCTTTTTAAAATATTTTACCTTTACGATGGCAAGGACAATGGTCAAGCATCCAGTGAAACATTCCGTCATCGTGTCTCAAATACAGGTACACGTCATATACCACAATGAGAACAATGATAATGGCTGCTAGTATTCCGGATAACAGCTTCCAGTTTGTCTCTTCAGCTGTGTGCAAAAATGCTTGCGTATAAACAAGCGCATGAAGGGCGTTTCATTAAAAAAAAAAAAATCAATTCAGCAAAAGATGTATGCTCGATTTCCAGCCGTTTTGTGAGCCAACGTACCTTGCCCTACAACACGTTCGTTTGGGCGAAGGACCATAACTGGACTCCCAAAACGGCTGGGAATCGAGCCTACAAAAGATGTTGTCGCATGCACATAACCATTGGCTAATTACGTTACACAGTGAAGCTGTTAACTTATGTGAAGTTTTAAATTTGTAATGATCACTCTCGAAGCAAACGAGATTGTTCCAGTCCCTCGTACAACGTGAAACTAAGAGAATGTGAAGGGTATAAGAGAGTTGATCCRCSATCTCGGCCTTAGTAATMCCTCTCAAGTTATTTTTAGACATGGTACCKAGTTCTCCTGCGGATGTCACCACYCGCGTTGCGTGGARGTTTCCAGCTMGAGGWTGWAKARGKGAGTGAKCKWGCTTCGRGTCTCAGRARTGGAAAATTTGTGGTCTTTTCAGGGATTTCTGAAAAGATGGGGGCTTAACTCCCTCACCCTTCATCCTCTCTTAATGGAACGTAGGGTGAAAACAGGATTATATTTGAATGCCCTTGATCGTGAAGTTTTGGACAGTTCCTCAATTCTTTTCTTATGGCAAAGATGCAATGGTCAAGATAAGTCAAGGTGCTAGATTCCCCCCTCGCCAGTATCCAGGCCATTATGCTTAATGTGTGTTAAACCTCTTCACAACTGGACGGAAGTAATATCAGTCCCACACCTGTTCTTGGTCGTCCCTTTTGTCCCTTAATAGTGCAAGGGTAGTGAGCGACTGTGAGAAAAAGGACCAATCGCGCTCGTGTTTTCTTGGTTAGTATTCACCAGCCCTCAGGTCAAAACAGACAACTACTTCGAACAAGTCAAGATCACAGCAAACAGGCCGTGTCAGTTCAGTGCACTGACCTGTCAACGGGCAGTATAAACTGAGCAGACCTGCAAGCCGTGCATTCACGCACGTGTTCATCGCGTCTCCCCGCCCCCTCCCTCTGGGGTTTCTTGACACCTTTACATACCAGTACGTTTGCCAGTAACTCCAGGCCCTACTTGTTTCACTATTGGATCCTCACATTCACAAGAGGTCGCGTTGAGAAACCTTTTCTCAGATTTGCACATTTCCACTGCAAACTGAGTGCAAACACAACCACATGTTTGATGACTCCACTCCTAAAATAATTCAGACGTCGAATTTAGCACAAACACACTGACGAGAACGAAGAACAAGGGAAGACACTAGATAAGGGAGTTGATACACTACCATAACATTCATAAATGCATTTAAATATGCGCTTGTCTCTTTCAAGCATATCAAGGTAAAGAGAGAGTGGAAGAAACTACGAGAGTATAGTAAATTCGAATATTTTGCAAGGTTATGTCAAGATTGGGGAGTAAACACTGGAGTTGATATGTGAAGGTAGTAAAAAAATTAGGTCGGACACCCCGAAATGGCGGGCACGAGGGGAAATTTGCAGCGAGTGGAAATTTTTTGGTGGTAAATAATGGGAACAAAACCGAGTTGAGATCTGAGTGACCTCTGAGAAAAGAGACATAATACCTTCCTTACTATCCCGTTGGGTACCGTTAATCGTATGCATGAAGACAAGTGCATTTGATGACTTACACTATAATAAGAACTGAGAGCGGTTGGCCGGACCAGGAGCCAAATCCAACGATGGGCAGCCGACAGACAGCATTTGACCACATTGGTGACAGCTTATGTGCCACTTGGGCACGAAAAGGATTATGTGTCACGTGTACCACAAGAAATATTGGAAAATTTTTTTTNTATCACGCGATAGAAATCTCGAGCTCATAATCTAATTGTTTTAGTATAAATCTACTAGTCGTTCAAAACTTTATCTAAATCCTCTTCAAAGACACTTCGGAAACACCAAGATGCGGCCGTCATTTTGTTAACAAGCGCACACTGCTACGCTACTCACTATCTATCACAGAATAGATACTGAGTAGCGTAGCCAATCAGCGAACGGCATTCGTGATAGAACGTTAGTAGATTTATACTAATTTGCATTACAATGTAATCTAAAGTAGGATGCGAGGTAATATTAATTTCGGGTAGAAACTAGAGAAAACTGCTCGAAATTTCCTCACCTACATGGTGGATTATATTGTAAGGCAAATGAGACGACCTAATCGTGAAAAGATTTGGTTTTATCAACTGGGTTGATAATGTGAATTGGCCACCGTAAAGAGATTCGAAAGCTGACGTTTCGAGCGTTAACCCTTCGTCCTAGCAAATCGAGGAATACAGAAAGATGGAGTTACGCTATTGGTTGGTGCATGGTAATCGTGAAAATGGCTATTTTGAAAAAAATACGAAGTGCCTGTATTAATTTCCCGGTAGTGCAAATTCAAAATTAACGATAAATTTGCCTGTTCTAGACCAATCACAGTTATCTCTCATTCGTGGAATCATATCTGAAATTCTCCATACCTTTGCAGCGGGACAAAATGCTACTGGTCCAGCGCATTCGCACTCGCATCGAAAGGGATTCCAGCTAAGGGAAATAAAAAGAAAACAGCGAGTGACATTTTCAACTTCTCTCCACATAACGAAACAAATTCACGAAGGCGTGAGTGTACAATTGTGGTGAGTACGTCTTTTCTTAAAGGTTGTTGTTGACGGAGAAACGTTAAGAAAGTTTTGCAACTATTCCTAGATATTAAGAATAACGAAGCACGAGCTATTTATAGACTGTTACAAAACACAACAGAAGTTCAGTTGAAAGTACGAGATAATTTTAGAAAAAAAGAGGGGCAGACGAATGTGTTTTGAATGCTTTTTCCCGTGTTACAAAATTCCTGGAGTATCAATACAGTATAACACATGGTCATGTGTCGAGTCTTGATATAGTTTTGGCTTCTTTACGTTTATTTATTTTTTATTGTATAGATAACGTGCGAGAAACAATAAAGCATGCTTTTCCATGTTTCATACTTTGGTCAAACAAAGCTATTCAGGCAATCAGAGCTCGTGAGGAATTCAAACTGTATTATAAATTTCTAGAAGAGGTTTGCTGTTCCAATGACAGATTGTTTCATATTAAGGAATATCACTGAACGTGTTTCTTGGAAGACAACCACACACTTCGCCTTTGAACCGCGCAGATGACCTGCACCTCTTTAAAACTTCTATTTTGATTCGTTCTTGTTAATCTGCACCTCTTTTGTTTTTAGGGCTAGGGGCATTGTTTGTGTTGTATATCTATTGTTTCGTTTGGCGAATCATGAAGACCCTTGTAAACGGTGCGTGGTTGCTCGAACCGCGCCTAGAACCGGTCCCTCGTTACCACTCACGCTTTCGTTCAGCTTATTTTCGTAAAAAAAGATTGACGCACATAAGGAGTTCAAACTGACCTGAATCTCTCCGGGCACGGGGTCGGAGGTTGATCCGGGTATTTGCATTCACAACTGCATCTACTCTCCACAAACTCTTCATTCTCGGAGCAGTCTCCGGCCTTCGTCACGCACGCGCACTCACAACTCGTGTCATTTACGACCGTGATCCATTTTTGGGCATTGGTAGCTAGCTCCAACACAACTCCAGTGACGTTGTTCTGAGTTTTGACGACGCATTGCCACGTATCAGGGGAGATACCGCCACAGCCGCCACTGCATCGGTAGACATCGTCAATAAAGTAAGGCACGTAACGATGCCGAGGAGCGTCAAGCGGCATCACCACCCGCCTGGGCTCGCATGAAACGGGATTCTCTAGAAAGCTGAACCCTGCAAAACAAGATCACAGTTACAGAAAATTTAACGAAATCTTCGTTCCCGTTAATCAGCGATTGACAGACTCGAAGTTAGTCGTATTTTAGGAGACTGAATATAAAGTGCAGGGTGTGAAGGGAAAAAAGGAAGGAAGCCGTCTACAATTTATAAACAATTATTGGATGAGGCTTTCGTGATATCCAGAACAATCAAGGTCGAGGTAGGGGTTATCAGCCAAAGCTGAAGGCTGAGGCTGATAACCCTTACCGAGACCTTGATTATTCTGGATATCACAAAAACCGAATCTAATATAATTGTTTTAAGACTTTCTCTCTATCCGCCCCCCCCCCCCCCCCCCCC